TGTTACGTTGGGTCTATAATGGTCATTTGATTAACAATAAAATTATGAAAAACAAGTAATTCATGCAGTTTGTTTGAATATTGTGTGTGTGGCCACCAAGTATAATGAGATTCAAGAAATTAAATAATCTACAATGAATTAACATCCTTAAATAGAACCAAAACATTGCAAGTCTTCTCAAATAGAATTTTGATTGTTTTGTTCTAATTAAAACAACGGAAATTGTCCTAAATAGGACTAATGAGTTCCTAAAAAGCACAAATAGGACTACTACTTTTAAAATTCCCTAAATAGGACTAAACATTGATTTTCTACCCTAAATACCCCTAAGAGTATTAATTCATAATGAAATGCTTTAATTCATAATAAAATCATAAAAAATGTAAAAAATATTTTAAAAACGTAAAAAAATTGTAAAAAATTTATAAAACATTTATAAAATAAAAAAATTAATTTTTTATTTTTTTAATTTTTTTAAAAAAATAATAAAAAATTGTAAAAACCCATAAAAAATGAAAAAAAAAATGGATACTTTTCCCACCGCCTCTCGCCGCCTCCCAGCACCACCACCTCCGATTGGTGAAATTTCTTCCACTTTTGGTAAAAAATGCCATATTTTTCTGAAAATGCCAAAAAGATGGCATAATTACTCTTCAATATGCCAACATTTTCATTGAATATGCCATCATTATGGCATTATTTAAAATGTTGGCATATATTTCTCCGGTGATGGGAGTTGGTGGTGCTGGGGGGTGGCAGGGGTGGTAATGTTTTTTTTTTTTAATTTTATGATTTTTTTTTATTATTTTTATTTTTTTTTAAATATTTTTTTTAATTTTTTTTAAAAATATTTTTTATTAATTTTCTTTTATTTTTTTACGATTTTTTAGTATTTTTTTCGATTTTTATAATTTTTTTTTATGATTTTATTATTAATTAAAACATTTTACAAGTTACAAGGGTATATTTGTCCAAACACACATAAATAGTCCTATTAAGGGAATTTAAAAAATGTAGTCCTATTTGTGCAATTTTGCCACTTTTTAGTCCTATTTAGGGAATTGACTCTTAAAACAAGGTACAATAATACTCCCACTTTGTGATATTTTTGTTCATTTTTTCTAGGACTGAATAAGTTTTATTTTAGGAAGAAAAACATGTGTACTTTTATTTTTAAAACTTAGCATATGTTTTATTCTTATATGAAATGAATTAATTCATTAATTGTGTTAATATTGCTTTTATCTCCTTGGATAACCACAATTTGTTTTGTGGTCAAGGATGCTGCCCATAACATTATTCAGGATGGAGAGGTTATATAGCAATACCAACAAAATAAGCTAATGCATACTCAGAAAGCGATATGATCGTGTTGTATTATCATGTGTATACAAACGAGTAACATTATTTTATGATATTATTATAGTATATATTAATCCCCTTCCATGTTTTATTAGACGTCCCATTTTTCTAGATATATTTCATTATTTATTTTATTGATTTTTTTTTCTGTAATTTCTAATAGTATGTGTAATAGGCTAATATAATTAGGATTCCTAAATATCTATTAGGTAGATTCCTAATTATATTAGCCTATTAATGTGTTCGATCTGTTAAATTCTATTAATTCTATTAGCTCTAATTTCATACGAGTATACTTCTTTTAATTTTCAATTGCATAGTTCTTCATTTCATTTCACCTACTTTTTAACATTTATTACCGTTTGAAAAGGTAACAATGCTAAAAACACTAATTAGGGATTTAGGGACTATAATAGAAACAATTTTTTCCTGAGACGAAGCACAATTATGTTTAAGTAATGGAGCCCAAATTATTAATTATCTCACAAATGACAGAAATTTAAAATCATTTTATGGATTTCAAGAACAATGTAGGGTCCTGAGCTAACATCACTTATCCATATGGTTTTTACATTAACAATAAAAAACAAGGAGCAAATCTTTGCCCTGAGGTGGATTTCTTGAATAATATTCCTGAACTATTCCATAAATATGGAATAAATTTGTGGTGGTCGAATGGTCAGCGTTCGGTGAAAAAGAAATCGACGGTGGTGATGTGTTTTTCTCTTTAAAAATGATGACACCGTCTATGATGAGTATTATCACCACCAATAGAACAATAACTCTCACAATCAAGCACTCTTTTGTATTACTTCATCATTGCCGGAAAGTCAAATTTTGCCTTTTCCTTCTCCCCTGTCGGGATATAAGTCGCATTCCTCTGTCCTTACTCTAACTGAATCCGCTGCCCTATTGGCTCAGTTGAATCTAGGCGAGAAGACTAGCATTTCTAAAATATTATAAACACCAATGAAGGTTAGGGTGTTTTTGGCATATTAAATATGTTGCTGTAACACAAAGCAATATACTCTTGTACATTATTGTGCTTTCATTATTATACCATATAATTTTCTCTACTTTTCTTCCGTGACCTTCCGTTAAAAACCAATCATTCAGTTTGTATACCGAGTATTAAATATATCTTTGTATTTGATGCGTCATTTGTAAGTTGTAACTTGTAATACGGAGTAGCTTATAAGAAAGAATAATTCTGATAAAAAGAATGAAATGTAAAAAGGATAGTCCACTGTCCACCAAAATACTCCCAAAAAACCCAAATTATGACACTTGACAGTCAGTGTTCATCTGCCCTCAACTCCACCACTCAACTAAGAGAAATACTACATACATATACCTATTAGAAGCTGCCACCAATACTTGCATTGGAAATTTAAAACGGATCGCATGCTATGTTAACGTAAATTTAACTTTATTACAAACTAAAAAACAAAGAATACGAATGCATGAATGAACAGAAAAAAGAGAGGGTTTTATTGTATAGAATAAATATTGTAGTAATTAACATTTCTCTATTATGTGAAATATGCCATTTTTTCGTATGCTTTATTTCACAATGTATGTTTTATTTAGTTACCTTTAGTTACTTTATTTCATACACAAGTGTGAATTCAAAATCTCAAGCTTTCATTTTTAAATTAATTCTTATCTCATTTTTACTATTATGTCGTGCATTTCTTTCTTGATATGCCATATACGCTCGCAATACCGACGTGTAAGGTTTGTACACACTTTATATACTAGGATCACCGACTAGCCGATAAATTTCTTAGATCAACATGTTTTCTCAAACTTTATTACAAGACATAGAAATATAGCTCGGAATTAAAGTCTAAGAGCCAGTTTGGTGATCTTATTTTTCGGCTTATCAAGCTTATTAGTCTGCCTTTTCATTAACCATGTGACTTTTGATTTCACGCGCTGAATTGTGTAATAATAAGAAAAAAGTAAGGTTAAAGTTACTTTTCTGAATATATGGGCTGAAATGACTGTATATGATGTTTTTTTGCTATTTTTCATATAGTTTTTCTTTATTTAATTAATAAAATATATTTTAAGTGTATCATTTTTTCATAAATCAGCAAAATCAGTCAATTCAGTCACTTTAGTTGGAAATGCATAAATTTCAACCGAATCATCAGCCAATGCAGTCGATGTTCTCACACACCTACCACAGTTTGCTTTTTACTATACTTGTACAAATCAAATCTAATATAAATACATCGTTATCTAATTGCTTTGAAATAAAATTGGGCATTTTCCCATCGCACAACGCGCGTCATAACACTAGTCATACCGATAAAAGCATATACAATAAGATTTGACATAATTTCTAATAGAAAAGAAGTAAGTAGGAGAGAAGGTGCAAAAGTATGAAAGATGAGACAAAAAGTAAAAATTATGGTTAATTGAGTATTTTAATGGAAAAACTTACTAAAAAGGGAAAACGTAGCAAAAAGTTAAATACATCTCCAAAAGAAAAACACAACAAACAAAAAGAATACGAAGGGAATATAAGAAAAAGGCTAATAAGAGCAACTGTTAGATCTATAGGGATTCAAAGTTTGATGGTTCTTTATATGTTGTTCCGCCGGTTGGATGATGTGGTTGCAAGAAGAAAACGAAATTGTTCCGAACAACAAAAAATTAAAGGAAAAATTCTCTAAATAGGAGTAAAAAAAGTTTTTGAAATTCCAAAATAGAACCTTCATGTTATTATTCCCTAACATGAAGGTCCTATTTTGAAATTTCAAAACATTTTTACTCCTATTCAGGATCATTTCCAAAAAAAATAAAGGCACATGTACAACTATATCAATGATTAATCGGCTCATGGGTTATTGAGAGGCTAAAATGCTATATTGAGTGTTTATATAGTATGCGAGTTTAACGGGATGATCCATCTTACATTTTTCCTTAGTAATTAAAAAGTTCCTACTTACAGAGACATCAATAATGGGAGTTATTCTGAAATAAGCATAAAGACCGTGAGGAAGAAAGACTGAAGAATAAAGTCGACCACATCGAAGATGAAGTTCACAGAATTATTGCGATGTTGAGCTAGGGTTGGATACTTGTTGTTTCGAGAAAATTTAATCCACTTGGAAGTAAATAGCGAAGGTTCATATCCATCCCAATAGGTACTTTTATATTCATTTTAGAGAGGGGTAAATATGTCATTTAAGTGCTTATCCTTCAAAAATCCCTACTCGAGGGTTTAGAACGATTACAAAAACATACGAAATCCTTACAAAACTGTCTAACAGAAAAGGAGGGTCATAAAGCTTCACATCTCCTCCATATCATTCTCCGGCAAAATTAAAATCGCAGACACTCTATTAGCAATTTAGTGAAAGCTAAGTCGATATGTTATTGTGAATGTTTTCCAGACGAGGTCTAGGATTCACAATGGGTGTCTTGCTTTCAGCATCAAGAATGGACACTAACTTTTTTCCAGACGATATGCTTGAATGTTTGACGACATCTTCTTAGTGTTTGTCAAATATTATTCTGTGTATAAATATCAATATCAATTTGAAATATGATTGTAGAAAGTATTCTATCTTTTGATTTGCATTTGTATATTAATTTACTTAATATGCAAAATTCCAACAGAATATTTGCATTTAGATTGCTATTTAGGCTATTTAGCCAATCTAACAAAGAGAATGAACTCTTGGGCTAGAAACTAGAAATGGAGAAAAGTTCGTATCTTCGGTGGAATTCCAACTAAACTTTGGGCTCAGTTTAAAACCCAAGCAGCGCATTTTTGGGTCCTGCTTGCAAGTAACGTCTTTTTTGGCGGAGGAGGGTGCAGTCATCTAGTCGCCGGCCAGTCGCATTTTGCAGTTACAAGGTGAGACTTTTCCTTGAAAACTGATAGCAGGATTCGCGGCCGACCATAGTCCTCAGTTTTTCTATCTGTAATTACTGGAGTTCATGAACTAAGGCACATCCTTGCTACCCCAGAAATTAGGTCTTTTAAGATTTCTGTAGATCGAAATTCTATAAAAAAGCACTAAACTTTGAGCCAGATTATTATTAATGCTCTACATTATTACATTTTTCTTAAACAGAGCCTGAAGTTGGAGCTGACATTTTCTTCTCTTTCTGTAACCTGTGAAGTTGCAGGGTGATGTCTCTGTGGCCGAAGCAGCAACCAATGGGGGATGAAAAGGACGCGTTTTATGTTGTTCGTAAGGGAAATGTTATTGGCATCTACAAAAGCTTAAGTGATCTCCAAGCCCTAATTCGGTCTTCTGTAAGCTCTGTGTTCTTGTTTGGTGTTTGATTTTGTGATGCATGTGCTGAAAGATGTTTTATCTGCTATTTATACGTAAGAATTTCATTTTTTTCAAAATGTAGAACAAGTAATATTTTTGGATTAACTTAGAGGTGTTATGTGGTACTGACCTCTCAGATTGGAGAACCTTCTATCAGTGTGTTTAAAGGGTATTTCCTGGCCAAACAGTCTGAAGAATATCTTGCGTCTCACGGGCTTAAGAATGCAATGTACTCCGTTGACACCATTGATGTTCGCAATGATCTATTTGGCTTACTCGTGCCCTGCCCTTTCCGGGTTTGACACCTAACCTTTGATTTGTAATGCTCCATTGGGATGCATGTTTAACTATATATTTATATACATATACATGATTAAATTATATTGCTGCACCAAAGGTTGTAAGTATTTGTTCCTTATCACCAGAAAAAAATATAACAATCTTCCATTTTATTTATGAAAAAAAACGAATAGCATTGGTTTTGTCATTCTTTTATCTTCGTGACATTTTTTCCAAATTACTCCTCTGTTGCATTGGAAATGAATATATTGGTCAAGTATACTAACACTTGCAGTGATGTTCTTTTCAGTGCATTGTTGTCTTTTAAGTCCAATCTTGCTATTCTAAATGACTAAAACATTAACAGAATGGCATGTGTTTGTTTTAATAGAAGTTGTTCAAAATAGGTGCATGAGTCCTATTTTGGGAAAAATACAATGCAACTCCCTTTTGAGAAAATTTGCAATGTTTTACTCGTATTAAAGAATTTTTTTCTTTTAATAGAAGTCACTCAAAATAGGATCAAAACATAGACAATGTTATAACATAGGATCAAGTATGTTTTCTTCCAAAATAGGAGTTATTTATTCCTATTAAAAGAATAAAAAATAAAAAAACTCTTGTAAATAGGAGTTCATGAGTCATATTTTGAGAAGAATACAATGCAACTCCTATTTGTGAAAATTTGCAACGTTTTACTCATTTTAGGAAATTTTCTCTTGTTTTAAATGGATGACACTTTCTTGTTAGTTTACTCAAAATGGATTTTTGTGGCAGCAACCAGGATCTTCTAAAGACAAACCACTCAGCAAGGAATTTCAGGAGAAGAGAATACTGGTAATACGCAATATATGAGCATTTGTGTAAAGTTATTGGTTCTATGACATATTTATGCATACTAAACTATTGATTCACTCTATTTGGTTTTGTTTTCAACCTCTATCTTCCATCTCCAGTCATTCCTTTTGATTCCTATTATAAGTAAGAGTAACCATATACCATTACCATCTAACCTTGAAAGATAAAAAGTATCTAACCACTGCCCACAAATTCAGAATGAGTTTCTAGTCATGTTTGAAACTTTCTGGTTCAGCCTGTCGTTATTCTATATTTCCACCATACACCTATTGGCCCAGCAATAGAAGTTTTATATTATTTGGAATTTGGATAGGGATTCTTCTTGATTTTGGAGTTTGATTAGATGAAGCTGATTAAATGGTGATATTTAGTTTGTTCTCTATGATCTAACTATTATTTTGTGACATATTTGCGTTCAACTTCAATTATTCATCTTCATTATGAAGAAGGTTGTTTAAATTTGGACATTTTTCTTCATCAACAGGAAATAACTGGACCTGCTATGTATTCAGCTGCTGTTGTTCCACAAAAACAAGGAAAATTAGATAATTTCCTTGAAGTCCCTCCAATTTCTTCTTACTGTGTAAGTTTCTTCATTGAAGTTCTCATTCTTCGCCTTCCTCTTACACTTCATGTCAGGTTCCATGTATGAAAATATTGAGCCTATAAAAAATCAGTCTCTTCTTCTGTTAACTGTTTATAGTAAATCATCATAAGGAGAGAGTCAGTGTGAACAGTGTACAGTAAATGTCAAAATTATCAAAAGATAAGCCACACCCTTTTTGAAAATTTGAGCTAACTACGCAGCATGCATACATGAACTCCAATATATATTAGACCTTCATCACAGATCCTATTGGTTTCATTTGTCCTCTTTCTTTTTCATAGTTACTCCCTCCGTCCCCTTTTAGATGTCCCGGAAGAGGGTGACACGAGTTTTAAGAAAAGTGGGTTTGTGTGGTTGATATTAATTGATAAAGTAAGAATAAAGTAAGAATAAAGTAAGAATGATTTTGAGCCACACAAATTTTACCAAATAAGGTATGAGACAATTAAATAGGGACATCCCAATATGGTAAAATGGGACATTTAAAAGGGGACGGGGGAGTATTTCTTTTCGCCTGGAATATTTTTCATTAGTGTTACTAATTGTCACATTTCATTATTTGCAGAGCTCTTGTGTTCTTGAGTTTGATGGTGCTTCAAAAGGAAACCCTGGACTTGCTGGTGCTGGGGCTGTTCTGCGTGCAGCAGACGGAAGTGTGGTAGTTATTCTTTTTTGTTGTAAACATTGTTGGTTGGGTTGAAATAGGTAAAGAAAGAAATGTGAGTGAGAGAAATACAGGAGAAATGAGAAACTTCTCTTTGTTTTCGTGACAAGAGAATGAAAACAGTAGCTTCCACCACCGTTTTCCTATGCTCTTATAGGGATTAATAGGAGCGAAATGGGGTTTTCAATTTCTACATATTCTTCTCTCCATTTCTCTCCCACGGTCCCACCAAACAACGCCAAAACTACCTAATTTTCCTCTTCTTTTTCGTCCATTTCTACCCATTTGTCTTTTTTATTTTCTATTCCTTCGCTCAGCTAATGAGATATAGGCATACAGCTTCCAACGTTTTATACTGTTAATTTTTATAGGTTTTCCGGTTGCGTGAAGGTTTGGGCATTGCAACTAACAATGTTGCTGAGTACAGAGGTTTGATATTGGGATTGAAGTATGCTCTTGAGAAAGGGTTCAAACACATACGTGCCCAAGGAGATTCAAAGCTTGTCTGCATGCAGGTCTTTTCTCTCTATTTTCGTGAATTACCTACACTCTGAAGTCTGAACAAAATCATGCATGTTTATTGATATCTTTCTGCAAAAAGAGATTTGCACAAAAAATTACTGATCATGCATGATTTTGGACAAAAGTTTCTCTATGTTAACCTTCCTCTTTTATTTACCTAGTATTTTCCATGTCCCAAATGGTACATTAGAAATGGCATTGTGATGGTGTGACCTGTAATGTCCCATTTGGGACCTGGAAAACACTAGTGAAAGAAAGTATAGGAACATGGGAAGGAATGAAAATACAGGGAAAATATATGATAAACTACAAACAACAACATCCAAGCCTTAATCCCAAAAGAGAAGAAAGACAAGAAGAAAAAAGAAGGGAAAAAAAGTAAGATTAAACCGATAAGATAAAGATAAATAAATATAAAATAACAATAACATAAGAATATAAAGAAGATTAAAGGTAAAAAGATAAAAGAGCACAAAAAGCTTGAAGATAAAAAAACATAAGTACATAAAAAGATAAAGAAGATAAACGATAAAAGAAAAAGAGAGAAGATAGAAAAGAAATCAATCGTCCACACGAATGTGCACCCTCCACTTTGCTCTCTTCAAAGCCATATTCTCATCCAACCCAAGAAGACGCATATCAATTATAATTCCTCTAATCCAAGTCTGTTTGGGCCTTCACCTTCATCTCCTCTCTGTCTCTTCTCCCCACGACTACACTCCTGAAGTCGTCTAGAAGATACACTAAAACACAATAAATTTGTTCTTGAAATTTGCTGATATGCTTTGCGTATATTTATGTGTACGATATAAACACCTACGTCTACAACAATGACAACAACATCATCCAAGCCTTATTCCCAAAAAAATTCGGGGTCGACTAACATGAATCGATCCATGATATCAAAGCCAAAAAGAGTTGAAAGATAAGAAGAATAAAAAGATAAAGTAGATAACATAAAGACAAATACTCCGTATAATATATGATAAGAACATAAGAAAGATAAAAGATAAAAGATAAAAACATAAAATATCATAAGAAATATAAAAAATATAAGAACATAGAAAGATTAAAGATGATAAAAGATAAAAGAAAGGGAAAGAGCAAAGAGAGAAAAGAGATTAATCATCCACATTGGATCTTTGTAAAATCAATCTAAGAGTTTTTTTTAAAATGTAGTCATATTTCATTTTCCTTCATTTTTCCAAGCTGAAATCCATATAAGAAATTTAATTATCTTAGCATTTTTTTTCATTACCAGACATTTTACCTCCACTCATATATCCTTAAAATTTTAATAATGGAACAGACTCAGGGACTGTGGAGAACAAAGAACCAGAACATGGCTGAGCTGTCAAAGGTGGTCAGGGAACTTAAGGAGCAATTTGCATCATTCCATATCAGCCATGTCGATAGAGTAAGTCAAGTCTTTCCTCAATTCAATAGCAATCTCAATCTCAACTCAAGTTATCTCCTCTCACAAAAATAAAAGGCTAAAAGCACTCTAAACTGTTACCCTCTTAAATGGCGGGGCATGTTTTATGTGTCTACTTTTTCCGTATGAGTTAACTAACCAAAGTTGAGCATGTTGATGGAAAGACATTCACACATTTAATCCCTCAATTGCTTGACATGATGTATTTGGATCTGTTTTTCAATCTTTGACTCTGTAAATTTTGGTCATCATTGTTTATCACTTTGGTGCTGTTCATTAAAATCACAGTTTACATTGTTAAATATCAGTACTCCTATAAACATTAGTATGAAATGTGGATTTTAACGGAAAAGATTGAATGTATCTCCATTGTTACACCTCCCATATACTACGTATAATGCATAAATGTCTCTTAACTGAAGGAATCTCTAAAAACTTTCCTCCATTCTCACTGGATTTGTTGTTACATGGCAGGAATACAACACCGAAGCTGATGCTCAGGCAAATGTAGCTGTGTATCTTGAACGTATAGACATTTTTGTTCATTTTCTAAAACCCATCCCCTTGACATGTTACTCAGCCTTTTATATTTTCGAAACAAAGATATAATTATTCTGAGAACCTACTGTTTGTGCAGATGGTCGCATTGAAGTCGAATGAGGAATCCCGGAGTAACTGAAAATAGAGTCATTGATTGAGGATGTCCCCCAAATATGGATTTTGGTAGGGATCCGCATCTTGAAACTAACCCTGTTTGGATTAGCCATCCGGTTGATCAAATTTGTAGATATGCAACAAATTGTCGGGTTCATTGTGCATTAGGGAGGATGCTTGTCTTTCTGCTATTATTATTTATGTAGATTCTAGGGTTACTGGCCATGTCTTTCTTCTTCAAATTAACTGAACAGCTAATTAAATACAAAAAAAAAAAGAATGACACCCCATCCCTGAGGGTCCCTCAAGAATTGACTAGACAGTTATATGGAAGGAAGACTGGGAGAATGTAAATTGAGCTTTGATCACACACTAATGAAAAGAGTGGGGCTTCATACCAAGTCTTTGCTTGGAGTTGAACCCAAGATCTCTTCATTGTGGCACTCCTATCTTACCAAGTGAGCTACCCACCCATCGGGATGGACCGGTTCCGGGCCGGGCTTCGGGCCGGTCCAAAGCGGGCTTTGGGGGGGTGGGGGGGAAACCGTCCCGGTTCAATTTTTTGTTTGTTTTTTTTCTAAATAACCCTTGACCCCCTCCCTCACCCCCGACCCCCCCCCCAAACACCCAACCCAACTCGGGAAAAACAAAAAAAATTGGAAAAACAAAAAAAAAAGGCCCAGCCCGGCTGGGCGGGTTCCTATTTTCCATGACCCAAGCCCGCCCTTAGTAACACCCGGTTCGGACCTAACCGGACCAGTCTAGGGCCCAGTTGCCGAGCCACGGGCTGGTCAGCCCGGAACCGGTCCATCCCTACCCACCTAGACCTGGACTCTGGCCGGTTCGGGCCCGGTTCGGGCCTGGGCCCGGTTCGGGCCTGGGCCCGGCCGGGCCTCGGGCCAGGAAAGGGGAGGCCCGGGCCCGAACCGCCGGTGGCCGGTTTCGTTTCCATTTCCAGGCCAAACCGGGCCGGGCCGGGCCGGGCTGGGCCTAACTGGCCCAATTTTTTTTTTGTTCTCCTATTTAATACCCTACCCCTCCCCCTCAACCTCAAACCACCCCAAACAACCTCAAATGGCCCAAAATACTTATTCCAACCCAAGATTTAAAAAAATTTTCAAAAAAAAAAAAAAATTTAAAATCCGGCCTGGACCGGGCCCGAACCGGCCGGGCCGGTTCACCGTATGGAAGGCCCGGGCCCGGAACCGGGAACCACCGGGCCGGTTCGACCCGAACCGCCGGTGGACCGGGCCACCGGGCCGGGCCGGTTGCTACAGTGGCCGGGCCGGGCCGCCCGGCCCGAGTCCAGGCCTATACGGCTATACCCACCCGGTGGCCTATTAACTACAAAATTGTATGGATGGCGACCTATCTTACAAGAACCATGCTGGTCCGGTTGTCACCTCATTACAAAGCCGGGATGGTAAAAAAATGAAAATAAAAAAATTGGAATTAGTTTTAAGGAGCATTGACCAAAAACTATATAAAAAAAATATAAGTAGAGTAGAGTATGTAAATAGTGTAAGACTTAACATGTTGCAATTATTTAAGAACTAGGGTAGTTTATATAAGTTTTGAATACAAAGAGGCGAAATGCTTAGCGCAATTAGTTTCCAGATGAATGCATCCTCTCCGACTGATGCCGAGTTTCAAGCGTTGATGATGAAGGATACGAGGATATTCAGGTGGAATCCGACTCCTCTACGGCTATTGAATTGCTCAGGAATAGGGAAGTGAGGCGTTGGTCTAAACCAATTCAGGAAACCAGGGTGATGATGGAACGCTGCAGGCTGGTGCTCGAGCATACTATGCGGCAAGGAAATTGAGCGGCCCATTATCTCGCTGCAGATCACTTGGGCCAACAGATTAATAAGTTTAAAGATCCGAAGTTATTACTCATTAGAGCTACACGGGCTTATTATATGGATCTTGTCGGTATTCCTTCGATAAGATTTTAATTTATTTGCTTCTTGCGTGTTTGACGGTTGTAAATTGGGTCAGGTCTAGCCCCCCCCCCCCCCCAATTTGTTTTTTTTCGCACTGTATAATTTCCCTTGAGAGGTTTTGGTTTGGTCTCCATCTCATTTGTATTCCAATCTCACCATTAATAAAACCCAGTAAATGTCCCCTTACATTTACCCCACTAATTTTGGTGGTTTGCCTTCCGGAGGTTAAAAGAAGAAGAAGAAGAAAGATTCAAACAAATCAGACAAACCATATAAATTCGTCAAGGAATAAGTATGTAAAGTTTCACTCCAAAAATTGGATGTAGACGTGCGACGTGTAGAGTCAAATTTGCCCTACTCTTTTTTCAAGCTTAACGTCGTTACGGTTATAACTTATACATCAATGTTTGTTGTACCCACCTTTGTAGTCACCTTATATCCATCTTTGTGAGGTTTTTTTTGTTCGAGTATTGTTCACAGACAAATAAGAAATACTTTGTCTGTGAACGAGATTCACAGACAAAAAAAAGTCTTGATAAACATAGGTCATCTCATCCGTCCAAAGTTACAGAATCAAGGGTAAGAATTGTTTGAGCCATAAATTACTCAACTGTTACGTGGGAATTTTCCTACTTTTTCTCAAATCCACGTAACTCATGTGATTATTGGGGAATATTCCCATCTTTCTCTTTAAATCCACCCTAACCTCATTAATATGGATGGCCATGATTAATTTGCATTTTGTAAATTAGTATGAGTTTGTATATGATCCTAACTTCCTAAGTCATATAAGGATGAGTACAAACATCATTTTTGTTACTTATATTACTACATATGCAAAACTATTTCATTTAATTTTCCCGAAGATGAGGAACTTTTCCTCACAAATGTTAAAGCTTCATTATTAGGCTTGGATATAACAGTCTTCCAGCCAAAGGCATGACTATGACTATACAAGAGAAGAAAATTTAATTTCCAAGAGTTCAAAAATATCCTTTTTCCAAAATAACATTTGTAATTGTACATGTTACTTTAAACTCATTTCATACTGAGCTAAACCTGATCAACATCCAAATGATAGGGAGCAGGAGTTCGACTTGGGGAAGGATTGGCTGTTGACTGCGGTTTTAATTTAATTTTATTTTTTACCGAGTATAACTTTTTTGTTATGTTTTCTATTTTAATTTGGGCTTGGTAAGGATTTATATTTTTAGTCTGTTATTAGAAAGGTATTTAAATGAGTTTTTTTTTTCAAAAATATTACTAGAATAAAACTCATTTACACAAATATGACTAATAGTCATATAATTTTATAACTACTTTAGTCACTAGTCACATTTTTGTAAACAATCTTTATTCTAATCATTAATATGTAATTATTTCTATTTAATCCCTAATTAAGGTTTACTTTGGGTTATGAAATGAATAATATTGGATTTTAGTCTGGTGGCTTTGGGCAACGACGTCTTCCATTGACTATCGGTTTTCAACTTTCATTCAGTGGAGGACCTAGGAGGCTTGGAGGGCATGTACCCACACTTCCGGTCCGACATTTCACGGAGTAGGATGCATGTGTATTTGGTGTGCGTTTTAAGAAAATAAAGGATAAAATAATTATGTACTTTACGGTTCTAAGCTCCAAAAAGTAAGAGAAAAACAGATTCACAAAAAGTAAAGAGTGAATGATAGATAAAGGGATAAGGAGTGATAAAGTAAAAAGTTAATTAAATCCCATTTAGGAAAGTATTATTATTTTTTAGACAATCCAAAATCCAAAAGTGTATCTTATAAAATGAGACGGATGGAGTATTATTTTTCATTGTAGGTTATTGACCAAATCAATCTCGAAATGGAGAATCACTATAGTGAGTCAAGCATAGATTACTCACTTGTTTAACATGTCTTGATCCTAAGTTAAGCTTTCCGATTTTTGTAAGTTAAAGCCACTGAACCTCATGAAGTTACATTCATGTGATTTTCTGCCACACAAACTTTTGGTGATGTTTGTAGAAAGATGATTGATCTTAAAGTGCACAATTCTTTTCACTTGGTATATCGTCTTATTGAGTTCGCTTTAGTGTCACCAGTTTAAACAGCCATCATTAAAACAACTTTCTCCACAGTGAATATTATCAAGACAGATCTTCGCAATAAGATGAGAGATGACTTTTTTTGCGGATTGTTTAGTGTGCTACATCGAGAGGGATATTTTTAAAATCATCGATAATGTAATGTAACTATTATGCAACATTTTCAAAACTCATAGACTTGATTTCATAGTTACAATAATGAACTAGTTAATATGTAAACAACTATTTCGTTTCATTTTTGCCAATGACTTACTTTTTACTGTTTTTATTACATTTGGGGTTGTTATAATAAAGTAAGTTTAGTTTCCAGTGTGCCCCAATCTCTGGGTCCGCCATTCCAGTTGGACACTGTTCCAGCCGGAATGACAAGATCAACTACCTACCTGACGTCCGTAAGATGGCCTTCCGAACACACATCAAGCATTATGAACTCTTAGTTATGCCCATCGGATTAACAAATGTCCCACCAACATTCCAGACCGCAATGAACGACTTGTTCCAGCCTTACTTGCGAAAGTTTGTAACTTTGTATTCATTTTCTTCGATGATCATTTTGATATATAGTTGATCTTGAGCAGGCCACTACGAACAATTGATTTGGTCTTACACATCTGGGGATATGAGTTTAAAGCTAATAAGAAGAAGCATGCCTTTGGGTGTCTCAGGCAATCCATTGATGATGCTTCTTGGATTAGTGAGAGTTTTGTGAGTCAATTTCCAATTTAACCTTGAAAATATGGTTGTTTCGAATGAGGATGAAGTTGAAATAGGGAGCAGAAGCTTGGGTTGGGGGAGAAAATGATGAGGTTCTTGTTGGTTTAGTGGAGGCGGGGACGGGCTTGAGTCCACCTTCGTTGTCTAGTTGATGGCCGCAAATTATATCGTGGAACCGGCGCATAATGAGGATGGTGCACCCGGTTGCAAAACGACGCAACATCGCGCACACTCCTTCTCCTTTGACCAGCCGCTGCTCTTCTCCGTTAATACTCGTTCGTCATTTTTTTTTTCTCCATCACAGTTGTGACTCGCACACTCCTTCTCCCCAACACACTTCTCCTCCCCAATTTGTTGTGTAGTTCGTATGATGCATTCCACAACCAGCACCAAACAAAGTTTTATCAATAAAAAAAAAACTTAACATAGCTAGATTCATTTATTGCTCAAATAAAATAAACATACCCATATAGAAAAGTGATTCTTCTTTAAAAGATATTTATGACTTTAATATTAAAAAAACATATTCACTATTTATGTAAACTAATTGCAGAATAAAACTCATCATTTTCATTGTTTACATTTGATATTGTATGAATTTACA